TTATTCTCTCCTTGACCCCCCCCTCTCCTTCCCTCCCTTCTTCCCTCCCTCCCTCCCTTCTCCACCTCTCCTCCCCCTCCCTTTCTCCACCCTCCTCCCTCCCTTCCTCCCCCCTCCCCTCCCTCCTTCCCTTTGTTCCACCCTCCCTCCTCCCTCCTTCCATCCCTCCCTCCCTCCCTTTCTCCACCCTTCCTTCCTCCTTCCCTCTCTTCCATCTCCCGAAGTATCGACGTGTCTTGGAGTGAGTGATGGATTGTCTCCTCCAGAGTTGCGAAGTTCGAGTGTGTGTGAAGCGCGTGTGTGTTAACGTGTATTGAGTGAATCGGTTGAGAGTAAATTACTATATCTCGGTTGGGTGTAGGTTTATTGGCAGTGGAGTGTAATGTGTTTTGTTTTGTTGGTTTTCGCTCTTTTTTAGTATTTGGGATTTTAGCTACATTTGAAATGTTGTAGAATGTGTTAATACACATAAACATGAACATATACATGTAAATACATACATACATATATATGTGTATGTGTATGTGTGTGTGTGCACATATGTATAACACACACACACACACACACACACACACAACAATATATATATATATATATATATATATATATGTATATATATGTATATATATATATATATGTATAATATATATATATATATATATATATACATATATATATATATATATATATATATATATATATACTATATATATATATATATATATATATATATATATATATATATATATATATATATATATATATATATATATATATATATAATATATAATGTGTGTGTGTGTGTGTGTGTGTGTGTGTGTGTGTGTGTGTGTGTGTGTGTATATATATATATATATATATATATATATATATATATATATATATATATATATATATATACAATGTGTGTGTGTGTGTGTGTGTGTGTGTGTGTGTGTGTGTGTGTGTGTGTGTGTGTGTGTGTGTGTGTGTGTGTGTGTGTGTGTGTGTGTGTGTGTGTGTGTGTTTATTATACACCCATATACACGCACACACGCACACATATGCACATATGTACACGTGCGCCCGTCAAAGGGTCCAACCAGCACCGACGGCGTCGCGGCGAGTGGAAGCGGGCGATTCCGGCCGACCGACCGACGGGGGCGGCGCGACGGGGCGGGGAGAGGCAGGCCGCCCTTGGACGGCGGAGCCTACACGAAGGCGATTCACAGCAATGCTAGCAAGTCGGGCAACGGCACGAAGCGGAGACTGCTTCGTCCGGAGGGCTCAGCGATGGCCCCCTTCGGGAATCTGTTCCTGGAGATATGAATGGCCGAAAAAAAAAACTAAAAAAAAAAAAAAACTACTGTTCATTTCCGTCATGGCGACCGAAGCCTAAGATCGACTTGAGACTTACATGCGACTATGTTAGTATGTGTACGAATTTGTGCGATAAGTGACTATTTGAGCGCGCGCACAGACACAAACACAAGGACATACAGATACCCACAAATGCAAACACACAAATACACGCGCGCATTTAGGTATATGTATGCATAGTTATACTTTGTTAAAATTGTTTAATAAGCCACAATTATTAGCTCTCAATCCCCGCTGTCAGTCTTTGGAATAATCTCCTCTACAGCTTTCGCTTTCAAAATAGCAGCTGTACGAAGTGAATCTCCACTTTTGTTATACATAAATGTTTTGCACACTGACACACTTTCACAAACATACACCGTTGTTTGTACCTCATAGTTTTATTAGAGATTATGCGATGTCAAATATATATTCTTACCACACTTGGATCTTTTTATCTACAATTCGTATCAAAGCAACCAGATAAACACACATAAACACAAACGTACATAACTCCAACAAAACACACACACACAAATACAAAAAAAAAATGCACACGCACACGGACCCATCTACATCGACAGAAAGAGAGAAAAAAGAAAGATAGGTAGACAGACAGACAAACAGATAGACAAATACACACTCGCATAAACAACAAAATGAATCAATAATAACCCAGGACCTGAACAAACCAGAAATTCCCTTAATGTTTTCGGTCTCTGTCGCCGCTCTCATTACAGCAAACGTTTGTGCCAACGTTTCGGACAGTTACCAGTAATAACGCGGGCACAATAATGCAGCATTTAAGTGAATATTCATGAAGCCAGACACTTTCTTTGCTATTTACAAAACTTTTGTCCATCCTAGCTTATTTATTCATGCGTTGTGCAACCATAATGTTATATTGATGCTTCAGTTTGCATTTGATAAGGAAGATTGGTGTGATTGCCGATAATGTTGCAATAATGCTATCTTTTATGGATATCATATTTGTAAGAACGTCTGGTGAAAATGGCAGCGATGATGGACAGGGCGATGATGATGGTGATTATGGGTAATGGGGTTTGCGGATAATGATGATGATGGTGGTGATGATGATGATGACTGGGGGTGATGGTGGGAAATGATGGTACCAACAACAACAACAGTAACAATAACAATA